AGTTAATCCATACAGACTGAAATTAGATTTTTCTAATTTTGTAATTTAGTCTGTAAAAAACTGAAACGGAGTTTTCAAACAAGCCTATTAATGGTATATTTAAAATTCTAACACCCCACTTTAATGTTTAAAAAACATGTACCTATAAACAGCTGAGTTTTTTTATGCTTTAATCAGCAATAATCAGTCAAACACAAATGACCCACTAAGTTAACCCAGGGCAATGATATGAAGGGTACACAGTAATATGGCAGGTGTTTATGGGTTGATTTGCTGGCAGCCGACCCCGAGTTAATCGTAAATAACGATGTTTTACACTTTATTACTTACACTTAAATGCACTTTAAAAATGTAAATCAACGGAATATTACTTACCCCAAAAATAAATTCCCCTGTTTAAAATATTTGAAAGCTTACACTTTTTATATAAGTTCCTCTAATATAACAGGTAGATCTAAAGAAAACAAACTTTAACACAATCTTGTCTCTTAATTTTTTGTCTAAAAAATTATAAACACTGTGTATATACACTCAGACAAACGAAAATCCTTGGGGTTTCTTTGTCTGAGTCACAAAATTCCAGAGGGGGGAATGGGGGCGGATGCCCAAAACCCTTTTTTTTGTTGGGGAGTCACCCACTCCCGTTTTCTTTGGGGAAAAGCTGGTGAGCGCCCGTTTCTTTGGCTGCCCTTTTTCTGTGATTTAGTCTGGAGGGGCTCATTTTCCTTTTTTTTATATTTAAAACACAGTTTTTTAAGCTTTTTTCGAAGGACTTGGGTCATAGGTTATTTTACACTGTAGAAAAACATTTTGGACCTCAGTGTGGTCTTTATCCGGTTCGGCACGACCATTTTATGTTGAAAAAAAGGCATTACCATTTTAAATTTAAAGACTTATACTTAACTTAAAAGGACAAATCATCGCCTGCACACTGCCCCTGCAGACGGGGGGTGAAGCTGTCGAAACCACTCAAATGGGCTGTCAAGAAAAATAATTTTTAAGATTATAAATTTCCCCCAGGGGTGTTATGTCAGCAATTTCATACACTGGGGCGACGTTACGTACTTGTTTGGACTCAATGGTCGCATATCACCGGGGGGTTTTTGATAAGTGACTAATCACGATTTTATACTCAACTGTGCAGTCAATAGAAATACATCAGATTAGAAAATTTACCCGGGTATATTTTCGACCCGTAATTAAAGCCCGGATATCCATTGATTGATTGAAGAATAGGTTTTTTTGAAGAATGTCACACAATCTGTTGGATGCAACATCGTTGTTACACTGTTCATCAATAATTGTTCCACAATATCCAAGAAGTTATCACACTTTTCTGTAATGTTTATCTGTTTTTGTGAGACACTTGTCCACACTAACGCACGATAGTGTTCTTTGTTGTTATCCCCGGCGTAGTGCACTCGTAGTAATCAAATTTTAAACTGGCGATGCCACACTGCCCCCAACCTCACGCCCCATCACAAAAAAAAGCTGACCTAGTACTCCTTGCTTCCTTGCCACTTCCTCGATGAAGCAAAGCAGAATGTTTGATTCTTGTTGTCTTAACATAGACAACAATGTCCACTATTTTACCAGGTAATAAAGTGGGGCAGGGTTTTCCCTTAATTGTCCTCTAAGTAAGAGTGTACTGTCTTTATAAAAAAACACTTTGCAAACCGCTGAAGGAGCAGAGGCCTTGACACGTCGCATAGCCTGTGATCAATTACCCTTTGCAGTAAACAAATGCTTGCCCCTTTTAGGAGGGCTTTGGCCCCTCAGGGGTGAAAGGGGTGAAGGGGGGACAGGGCTGAAGGGGGGGGCCCCCCTCCGGAGAATTTTTCTCCACCGACTGATTCCCACAAGGCAGGGTGGCCCGAAAAAGACAAACTTTCACCATCATTCACTCCATCACGTCTTGCCAGAAGGGGTTTTACACTACAGTTTTTTAAAATGCAACTTAACACCCCCTTCAGAGTGCAGGCACTGTTCTTCCCATTCCAGGGGCTCAGTCCGGCCTGCCGGTTTTCCCGAACCCCTTTATAAATGTTACTTTGCCAACTCCAAAAGAACATCAAAAATTAAAAACCCCTTTGTTTTTCCCTTTTACTCCTTCAAAACCTCACGCACGCCCGCGGGGCCAAGCCCCTCACACACAAAACCCCTTTACCCCCCCCCCTCCAACCTTTCCTAGGCCCACCCCTAAACCCCGCCTTCCTTCCCCCTACGATGAACACTCTTGAAATCATTTTTTTTCGCTCCATTCCTCTACATGTCCGAAAACCCCCTAACAACCCTTTATCAGCGTCTGGCAACAGTTTTGGTAATCCCGCACCTCTCCTAACTCCCAAAAATACAATTTCCCGCATTATATTCACACCACACATTGCCCTCAGACATGACATCTCCACTGCCTCCAGCCTTCTCCTCGCTGCAACATTCATCACCCATGCTTCACACCCATATAAGAGCATTGGTAAAACTTTACTCTCATACATTCCCCTCTTTGCCTCCAAGGACAAAGTTCTTTGTCTCCACAGACTCCTAAGTGCACCACTCACCCTTTTCCCCTCATCAATTCAATGATTCACCTCATGTTTCATAGACCCATCCACTGACACGTCCACTCCCAAATATCTGAATACATTCACCTCCCCCATACTCTCTCCCTCCAATCTGATATCCAGTCTTTCATCACCTAATCTTTTTGTAATCCTCATAACCTTACTCTTTCCTGTATTCAATTTTAATTTTCTTCTTTTGCATTCCCTACCAAATACATCCACCAACCTCTGCAAGTTCTCTTCAGAATCTCCCAAGAGCACAGTGTCATCAGCAAAGAGCAACTGTGACAACTCCCACTTTATGTGTGATTCTTTATCTTTTAACTCCACGCCTATTGCCAAGACCCTCGCATTTACTTCTCTTACAACCCCATCTATAACAACCACGGTGACATCAAACTTCCTTGTCTGACGCCTACTTTTACTGGGAAATAATCTCCCTCTTTCCTACATACTCTAACTTAAGCCTCACTATAATCGTAAAAACTCTTCACTGCTTTCAGTAACCTACCTCCTACACCATACACCTGCAACATCTGCCACATTGCCCCCCTATCCACCCTGTCATACGCCTTTTCCAAATCCATAAATGCCACAAAAACCTGTTTAGCCTTATCTAAATACTGTTCACTTATATGTTTCACTGTAAACACCTGGTCCACACACCCCCTACCTTTCTTAAAGCCTCCTTGTTCATCTGCTATCCTATTCTCCGTCTTACTCTTAATTCTTTCAATAATAACTCTACCATACACTTTACCAGGTATACTCAACAGACTTATCCCCCTATAGTTTTTGCACTCTCTTTTGTCCCCTTTGCCTTTATACAAAGGAACTATGCATGCTCTCTGCCAATCCCTAGGTACCTTTCCCTCTTCCATACATTTATTAAATAATTGCACCAACAACTCCGAAACTATATTCCCACCTGCTTTTAACATTTCTATCTTTATCCCATCAATCCTGCTGCCTTACCCCCTTTCATTTTACCTACTGACCTCACTATAACTTCCCACACTCACAACTGGCTTTTCCTCACTCCTTCAAGATGTTATTCCTCCTTGCCCTATACACGAAATCACAGCTTCCATATCTTCATAAACATTTAACAATTCCTCAAAATATTCCCTCCATCTTCCCAATACCTCTAACTTTCCATTTAATAACTCTCCTCTCCTATTTTTAACTGACAAATCCATTTGTTCTCTAGGCTTCCTTAACTTGTTAATCTCACTCCAAAACTTTTTCTTATTTACAACAAAAATTTGTTGATAACATCTCACCCACTCTCCCATTTGCTCTCTTTTTACATTGCTTCACCACTCTCTTAACCTCTCTCTTTTCCTCCATATACTCTTCGCTCCTTGCATCACTTCTACTTTGCAAAAACTTCTCATATGCTAACTTTTTCTTCCTTACTACTCTCTTTACATCATTATTCCACCAGTCGCTCCTCTTTCCTCTTGCACCCACTTTCCTGTAACCTCAAACTTCTGCTGAACACTCCAACACTACATTTTTAACCTACCACATACCTCTTCGACCCCATTGCCTATGCTCTCATTAGCCCATCTATCCTCCAGTAGCTTTTTATATCTTACCATAACTGCCTCTCTCTTTAGTTTTATAAACCTTCACCTCTCTCTTCCCTGATGCTTCTATTCTCCTTGTATCCCATCTACCTTTTACTCTCAGCTGCAACTAAAAAGTGATCTGATATATCTGTGGCCCCTCTATAAACGTGTACATCCTGAAGTCTACTCAACAGTCTTTTATCTACCAATCCGTAATCCAGCAAACTACTGTCATTTCGCCCTACATCATATCTTGTATACTTATTTATCCTCTTTTTCTTAAAATATGCATTAGCTATAACTAAAACCCCTTTATATACAAAATTCAATCAAAGGGCTCCCATTATCATTTACACCTGGCAACCCAAACTTACCTACCACACCCTCTCTAAAAGTTTCTCCTACTTTAGCATTCAGGTCCCCTACCACAATTACTCTCTCACTTGGTACAAAGGTTCCTTAACATTCACATAACATCTCCCAAAATCTCTCTCTCTCCTCTTCATTCCTCTCTTCTCCAGGTGCATACACGCTTATTATGACCCACTTTTCGCATCCAACCTTCACTTTAATCCACATAATTCTTGAATTTACACATTCATATTCTCTTTTCTCCTTCCATAACTGATCCTTCAACATTACTGCTACCCCTTCCTTAGCTCTAACTCTCTCAGATACTCCAGATTTAATCCCATTAATTTCCCCCCACCGAAACTCCCCGACCCCCTTCAGCTTTGTTTCACTTAGGGCCAGGACATCCAACTTCTTTTCATTCATAACATCAGCAATCATCTGTTTCTTGTCATCTGCACTGCATCCACGCACATTCAAGCATCCCAGTTTAATAAGTTTTTCTTCTTCCCTTTTTTAGTAAATGTCTACAGGAGAAGAGGTTCCTAGCCCATCGCTCCCTGCATTTTAGTCGCCACATACGACACGCAGACACGCATGGCTTATTGAGGAAAGATTCTGTTCAACCTCCCCATGGACAATAGAAGAAATAAAGAAGAACAAGAGCTATTTAGAAAAAGGAGAAAAACCTAGATGTATGTATAAATATATTTATATATAATTTATATATAATACATATTAATATATAATATATATATATATAATATATATATATATAATATATTATAATATATATATATATATATAATATTGAGTAGTAGTTGGTAACAGCAACCACCCGGGGAAGTACTACCGCCTGCCAGATGACTGTGAAAAAAACCTGTAACTTTTTTTGCATGATGGTGGATTGCTGGTTCTTTTTTCCCATAAACACCAAGAAAACGGGGATATCTTGCACTCCTACTTACTTTTTGGTCCACTTCACAGACACGCACACTATATATATAACATACATCTATTTTTTTTTCTCCTTTTCTAAATAGCTCTTTTTTTTTTATTTCTTCTTTTTTCCATGGGAGTGGAAAAGAATTTTTCCCCTCCGTAACCATGGGGTTCTATAGGCGACAAAAATGGGGGGAGCAAGGGGCTAGAACCCTTCTCCTGTATACAATTCAAAAAAAAGAGAAAAGAAAAACTTTATAAAACGGGTTGCTTAAATGTCGTGGAGAGTCGGATGCAAGAAACAGATGATTGCGATTTTATGAATAAAAAAATTTGGGAGCCTGGCCCTAAGCGAAAAAAAGCGAAGGGGGTAGGGGGTTTCAGTGGGGGGAAAAAAATGGGTTTAAAAACTGAGTATCGAAATTTTAGAGCAAAGGAAGGGGTACAGTAATGTTAAATGATCTTAGGAAGGAGAAAAGAAATAAAAAAGTGTAAATTCAAGAATTAGTGGATAAAGAAAAGGGGTTGGATGCGAGAAGTGGTCATAATAACGTTATGCACCGGGAGAAGAGAGGAATGCAGAGGAGAAAGAATTTTGGGGGAGTTAAGTGAATGTATAGGAGCCTTTGAACCAAGTGAAAGTAATTGGTAGGGGACTTGAATCTAAAAATAGGAGAAACTTTTTTGAGAGGGGGGGTAGGTAAGTTTTGGGTGGGCCCGGGGTAAATGATAATGGGGGGCCCTTTGTTGAACTTTGTATAAAAAGGGGGTTTGTTATAGGAAAAAATATTTTTAAAAAAAAGAGATAAAAAAATTACACGATATGATGAGGGGGAAATGACAGAGTTTTTGGGTTTTGTATTGGGAGATAAAAGACTGTTGAGTAGACTTCAGGATGTACATTTTATGGGGGCCACAAAATCAGATCACTTTTTAGTTGTAGCTACACTGAATAAAAGGAGATGGGGTACAAGGAGAAAGAAGCAACAGGGAAAGAGAGGTGAAGGTTTATAAACAAAAGAGAGGCAGTTTGGGAAGATATAAACAGCTATGGAGGATAATGGGGAAGAAGCAAAGGCAATGGGTCGAAGAGGAAAGGGGGAGGTTTAAAAATGTAGTGTTAAGTGTTCGCAAAGTTTTGGTTTCAGGGAAAATGGGTGCAGGAGGAAGAGGACGATTGGGAAATGATGTAAAGAAGTAAAGGAGAAAAAGTTAGCATATGAAAGTTTTTACAAATAGAAGTGAGCAAGGAGGAAGAGTATATGGAGAAAAAAGGAAAAAGTTAAAGAGTGTGAACATGAAAAAAAGAGAGCAAAAGAGAGGGGGTGAGATGTTATCAACAAATTTGTTGAAAATAAGAAAAATTTTGGAGTGAATTAACAAGTTAAGAAAGCTAAGAACAAAGGGATTTGTCAGTTAAAAATAGGAGGGGGAAGTTATTAAATTGGAGGTAATTTTGGGGAAGAGGGAAGGGAAAATTTTTTGAGGAATTGTTAAATGTTGATGAAGATAGGGAACTGTGATTTCGTGAAATGGGGAAAGGGAGGAATAACATCTTGTAGGAGGGAAGACCTTTTTGAGTTGGGGGAAGTTCGGAGGCAGTATAAAATGAAAGGGGGGGAAAGGCAGCCGGGATGATGGATAAAGATGAAAGTTAAAAGCAGGTGGGGATATAGTTTTGGAGTGGTTGTGCAATTTTTTAAAAAAATTATGGAAGAGGGGAAGGTACCTAGGGGGTTGGGAGGAGCATGCATATTTCCCTTTTTATAAAGGCAAAGGGGATAAAAAGGGCAAAAATTATGGGGGGTAATCTGTTGATGTACCGGTAAAGTGTATGGTAGAGTTAAATTGAAAGAATTAAGAGTAAGACGGGGAATAGGATAGCAGATGAACAAGGAGGCTTTAGAAAGGTAGGGGGGGTGTGGCCAGGTGTTACAGTGAAACATTAAGGAACAGTATTTAATAAGCTAAAAGATTTTTTTTTTGGCATTTATGGATTGGAAAGGCGTATGACAGGGTGGATAGGGGGCAATGTGGCAGATGTTTCGTGATGGTGTAGGAGGTAGGTTTTCTGAAAGCATGAAGAGTTTTTAAAAGAGGATAGGAGGCTCAATTAGAGATGTAGGAAAGAGGGAAATTTTTCCCAGTAAAATAGGCCAGACAAATTGTGAGTCACCGGGTTTTTAATATATATAGATGGGGTTGTAAAGAAGTAAATGCGAGGGGGCTTGCAAGAGGCGTGAGTTTAAAAAATAAAGAACACACACAAAATGGGGGTTGTCACAGCTGCTCTTTCTGATGACATGTGCTCTTGGGATTCTGAAGAAATTGCAGAGATTTTATGAATATGTAGCTTCAAAAGAAAAATTAAAATTAATAGAAGAATTTTATCATAACAAAATTCAGTGATAAATAAAAATATCGTTTGGGACCTCATGAAGGTGACATCTAGATACTTAGGAGTGATTCAGCGAATGGTTTAAAAAAGTAATCATAATATGAGGAAAAATGTTGGTGCCTTGAGTATTGAAAGAAAACTTTTCTTGGGGAAAGAGGAAATTAAAGATTTACATACGCTTAAGGTTTAAGCTTAAATTTGCAAGAGAAGCTACTAGATTCATTCGAGCAATGTTGTGGTATAATATCCTAACGATTATAGAAATTAATATGGGTTTTTCCAAATTTTCCTTGTGGAAGTTTTGTGTTCCCAAAAGATGAAAACTAAATACAAATAATTGATTTACATTTATGGAAGGGCGGGGTTAGTGTCCAGAAAGGGTTGAGGGGGTAAGGTTTTTGTTAGGGTTTATTCCCGCATACCTAGGTTTCTAGGACTGAGTAATGTTTTAACTTGGAACCGTGCTTTGTTATAACATTTATGAATGGGTTTGGAACTGCAACCACTTATCCAGGAATGAATGTTACAGTCTTACTCTATTAGGAATTTAAGTTGCAAGTTTAAAATCATGTAAAGCACCCTTTGGCAAAGACAGAGAATGGTTAATGAGGAAAGTTTCTTTTCGGCCACCCGCTTTTGGGGAAACGCTGGTGTGATAATAAAAAAAATAATATAATAATATATATATAATATATATATATAAATAATAATATATATATATATATATATATATATATATGCAAATAATCACAGTAAACGGATGATTCAGAATATGCAAAACAACAACTCTGAAAGAAAGAGAAATTCCAAGCCTTTTCGTGACTACTCACATTATCAAGGAACTATGAAAGTAAAGCATCCAAGGAAGCTATAAGGGGTCTGGTCGCACTCACTATCAGATCCCACAACGGTTTAAACACCTGACGTGCGCCGACCCAACTTGGTAGGTCCTTGGCACAACTCACCCCACAAACTATTCTACCCAAGAAATAAGAAATTTTAAAGATTATTTTGTCCAGTGTATTATTTAAATTCTTCCCAAATTCTATTAATTATAAATGGATCTAATTTATATAAACCAAAGGAAATATTCATATTATTGTCAAAACTGCTTTTTATGAAACAAGATTCAATTATATTCCTGTCGACCATGGACTTGCTTGATACTACTTTCTCAACTTTTTGAAAATCAATTGGATGGTTAAAATCTCTTACATGAATAAATAGAGCATTGGAATCTTGTCCAGTTCTAAATGCTATATTTATGTTGTTTTAATCTTAGTTCGAGATTTTTACCAGTTTGACCGTAATAAACTTTATCGCAAATTTTACAAGGAATCTTATAGAACACATCCATCAGCATTTTGGGGGAATTCTTTATCAAAAGTTTTTTTACTGTATCGAGATTTTGAATACAACTTTAATATTAAAAGTCTTAAGAAGAGAAGGCATATCAACCAAGTTTTCATGTAAGGAAGAACCAACATATTTTTATTGAATAAGGCTGGTTGTCCCTTTTGGATTGTAAAAAGTATTTCTAGCAACTTTAAAAGATTTATCAATTACATTTCTTGGGTATTTTAAATCATTACCTATTTCATAAATTTTGGATATTTCCTCATCTATGAACTCAGGACTACAAATTCGTAAAGCTCTCAGAAACATTGATGAGAAAACAGACAGTTTGACTCTATCTTGATGCGAGGAATAATAGTGGACATAGGAACAGTTATTAGTAGGTTTTCTGTAAATTTTAAATTTGAATTCATTATTACCCTTAATAATTAAAACATCTAGAAAAGGCAATGAGTTATTTTCTTCAAACTCAACAGTAAAGTTTATTGAATGGGCTAAGCTATTTAATTTTCCAAGGAAATGGTGTATATCTACATTTTTGGGCATAAGACACAAAATATCATCAACATATCTGAACCATTTAGCTCTATTAGGGAGGATTGTGTTAAGTAACCTTGTTTCAAAAAATTCCATGTATAGGTTACTAAGAACAGGTGAAAGAGGATTTCCCATTGCCATACCAAACTTCTGAGTGTAAAATTTATCATTAAATACAAATTTTGCATCAACAATGCAATGATAAATTTTACACTCAGAAGTTTGGTATGGCAATGGGAAATCCTCTTTCACCTGTTCTTAGTAACCTATACATGGAATTTTTTGAAACAAGGTTACTTAACACAATCCTCCCTAATAGAGCTAAATGGTTCAGATATGTTGATGATATTTTGTGTCTTATGCCCAAAAATGTAGATATACACCATTTCCTTGGAAAATTAAATAGCTTAGCCCATTCAATAAACTTTACTGTTGAGTTTGAAGAAAATAACTCTTTGCCTT